CATCCCCCCCCCCCCACTTCAATGTCAATTTAATGTCATGATGTGTAAGGCTAATCAAAACTTTGCACAAGAAGACCTCTTCCTTGCATGCCATTAGATCCATTTGGTGATGCCAAAGTGGATTGAACGGTTCATTTGTGGTTCAATTTAACCACAAATGAAGCCTCGACACATGAGTCAAAACAATTGCATGGATAACCTTAATGCTTCAAGAAGCTTTAGCTCACCATCAGTACAAGTGTGTGCACCAACATGGCCAAAATATCTCTCAAAATGCGTGAATGATTTGGCTCCTATTTGCGAATGAGCAGAGGTCTTATACTCAGGACGTAATTGCTGATCAGCTGCAGGTTTTGACAGAAACACATTTTTCATATGCGATTGACCAAACATTAATCAAGAACATTTTCGATGAATTGCACAAAATCGAATCATGATACAATTTCAGTGACATATTATTTTTCCCGGTGGCTCGGTGTACAACCGGTTAGCGCATTGGCCTCGCAGTGCAGAAGTGCAGGGTTCGATTCCGGCTTCGGCCTTCCTGTGTGGAGTTTGGATGCTCTCCCCCGTGCCTGTGTGGGTTTTCTCCAGGTATCGTGGTTTCATTCAACATTGTTGGACCATGACTACTGCGTACACCTTGTCCAAGTAGACTGTTTTATTTCACTTTCATAGGGGTACTTGTGTTATTTTGACTCATCAGGCACTTTGACATCAAATGTGACAGAATGTCTGTTCCTCCTGAGGTGCGCTGATTTCTTACAGTGGATAAAGACGTACAAAGGATGGATAAACACCGCCAGAGTGATCAGAGTGAGGACAAGGTCCACCTGCAACACACAAGTGAGTCAGTATTACCATAAGGTGCCTTTGAGAGTTACACATTTCACTAAAACGATTTTCCACTGAACTTCGTATTTATTGTTCCTGTATTAGGTAAATGCTATGCTGTCGAAAAGCTTTTATATTTATTTTGAAAATAAATTATCTGCAAGCAGACAAGGTACCCTATGTGCAAAGAGCAAAACGTGTGAGCTTGCCAACAAGGTGGACATTTTTGCCTCATGCAAGGATTTAATGGGTACATGGTGGACCTTCACTTAGCAACATGATCTACTTTGCAGTTAGCAAGCTGACTCTTTACTGTTTCACAAATATTGCACTTTCCAACATCCAATGCAAATGATGTTTACAAAACAAGTGTAAATATTTACAGCAAGTATCTGCTTATTTAAAGAAAGACAAAATGCTGGATGCAATGTCACGGAAAACAAAGTTTAATTTGTTCCGTGACAATGCTTATAACTCAAAACATACTGAAATCATCTTTCCTCATTGAAAATTAATGAATAGAAATCTTACTAAACCTGTCCAGCCCCCCATCAAAAACACCCCTTCTGGTATGTGCAACTAAAACTGTCAGTCATGCAGACAAATTAAGTGTCAGTCCGCTACTAAATATTTTTTTGCAGGCAAAAAAGATTTACTTCATAACCCCCCACCCCCTGCCCCAATTGTTTGTGTGGAACATATTGTGAATATTTATTCGCGTTTTTTGGGGGTTTACAGGAAAAAAATCATCCCCCTGCCCCACAAATGCATTTCAAATATACACGGATTTTTACTATTTACGGGCTGGTTTGGTCCCTATCCCCCATGAATGTGTGTGTGTGGAGGCGGGGGGGGGGGTGTACAGTTCCCTCCATAATTCCATAATTCCGCTGGTTAAGGTAGATTAAAAGCCTAAATAGAATTCAAATTTTATTGCAGAAGCATACTCTCATACAGAGAGATAGGACCCAGGTCGCTGTTTTTGAGAGATTGTTCAAAGAAGAACGTTCGCAGATCCCTCTTTGTCTATTACCCATCCTGTGAAATATAGAAGATTAGGTGCCATTTTGTTGGCAAAAGAGGGTAATTGCTGTCCATGTGTAACAACAAAGATTGACACGTTGTGTCCACTAACACGGTGTCAACAACATTTCACTAAAGGACAGCTACTTACGTAAAAAGGATCTCCACCAAGAGGTCCTTTGACCAGCGCAAAGCAGGGGAACTGAAGTAGTGTGATTACTGCTGACGTTGACATGACAAAGCCATACAGCTTCCCAAAATGACAAGCTGGAAAACTGAGGAAACACACAAACACAACCAAAAACATCAGCAACCAGTTGTCAGGAAGTAAACTGTACCATATGTGTATATGACCCTTTTGGCAGCTGAACAGTCAGCCTGAGAATTTGTCAGAATCGTTTTTTTTTTTTCCACTCACACAATGTTAATGAAGGCTGCATTTCCCCCGTAGATGAAGGAGCGATTAATGACTTGCAGAATAAAAGTGAAGTACTGCAAAGGGAGGCAGGGAATGGAGGCACACAAGGAAAAGAGCAGGCACTGCAGGGCGGTCAGGAACAGGGATGGCAAGGATGAGCGCAGGTCTGCTTCCTGCTCTGTTTCTCCTGCACGCAATGAACAAGTGGTTAGAAAGGCCTCGGTGCCGCACACATCACTGTTTACATATTCCAATTACCAGTACTTCATTTTGCAAAAGTTAAATATTTGAAGTTTTGTTTCCGTGAAGAAGTTTTCCGTGTCAATTTCGATCCCTGACATCAATTTTGGACAGGTTTGGTCGGTCGTTTTCCAGTTGAGACTAATTTAAGGAAAATGACGCAAGTCACATTTCATATGCATAATGCGGGGAAAAAAAGGCTCTTTCTGCTGATGAAAAGCACCGAATTGGACAACTTGCAAAAGAAAAAAGAAAAGAGCTAAGTCGTTTAACATTTGTTTAGGTAAAGGAAGTATTCTGTCAAGCAAACGCATTGCGTCAAGTCAGTAACTCTTAAAAGAGACATTCCCGCTGGGATGCACATTTGCAATGAGTTCAGAAATTCAAGGCAATATATTTTTTTTAAAGCGGCTTTATTCACTAATGAATGTCGTGCTACTTTTGGATTGTTCAGAAGGACTCATGGATGGGTAGTTGCCAACACGGCTGTCACATCAGCAAGAAGGTGACGGAGTGACGTTTTGGACCGGGATAATGGAGCATAAAATGGAGCGAGAGAGAGAGAGAGGGGGGGACGGACGGATGGACGGACGGAGGGAGGGAGAGAGAGCGAGAGAGGGGGAGGGAGAGAGAGAATCGGAATCAGCTATCTTAAAATGGGGGACAGAGGTTTGGGTCCAGACTAAGCCAATGTCTGCGGACCCACGGCCAATTACTGTTTAAGATTAAATACTATTCTGCACACCATCATGCTGTTGCTTGTCTTTATGTTGTTTTTTTTTCTTTTAAATCCCACAGATCCCCATCGCAGACTGTATGAGCTCCATGCTGTATTATGGTAGCACCTGTTGTGGCCATTTGACCATAATTAGACAATCAACCCGTTTGTTTACCAGAAGAGATCTGCAGGGTGAACACGCTGCATAGCTTGTCTCAAAGTTCGGAGTTGACTCAGAAAACACAATTTGAAAGATTGAATAGACGGAACACACCTTTTCTATTCTTCCAGAAGCCGACTCCGAAACGAAGTGTTCACAAACACAGCGCGGCATTTCCGATGTGTTTTCATATGACCTTACAAAGCAACGCAAGCGCACATGAAAGATGTGACTAGATTTGACTTTCCAAAGTTTAAGGTGACATGAACAAATCGGATTGTCCCGATTGAATCGATGTGATCGGAAATCGTGATTTTCAGCTGATTTTTCTTCATGTCTAAATCAATAATAAGATATTTTCGTTCTTTACTTGATTTGAACCACTGCTGATTTACAAGCAGATAAAAAGGTATCATCTTGGCATGCTTTTATTCAAAATAAATAAGTGAATTGAGACAGCTAGGATGTGGTCTGTTTCGGGGTAGAACCTTTACAATAGAAAAGGGTCTTTCATCCCTGATTTACCAGGAGCAAGAGGCTTTCCCTTATGTCTGTCCAGTATGAGTCCGTTCCAGGGCGCACACAACACCCCACACAGCTGTGTCATGGCAAAGGCATTGGTGTATCGACTCACTGTGGGAGGTAGAATGCACACCAAATCAACCAAATGCAATCCGTCATGCCACGTTAGTCCGTGGAACAAAGAAAATGTACCAAGGTTGGCGTCATTTTTGGCCAGGCGGGTGAGCATGGGATTGAGCGTGCCGATGAAGAGGTAATGCCTCAGCTGCATGATGGACAGCCATAACAGGTGGCACATGAAGAACCAGGACAGCACACAACTCCTGAAACTTGGCACTAAATCAGAGGTACAGTCGTTATTATCCAAGTGTTGGGAATGAAACATCCTGTTTTATGACCTAACATCCATTTTCTGTACCACTTTTGTCTCATAAGGGTTGCAGATTAGGTGGAGCCTAAATCCCATCGTATTTTGGGTGAGAGGCAGGATATGCCCTGGAGTCCGGACTAGTTACCAAATGCCATCCACGAGAGCAGCTTGCTATAATGCCAAATTATACCTTTACAAAGACTAGTGTCAGAACGGTATTATATTAACAGGGCGAGCAAAATAAAATGCTGCCCATGATGTTCATTTATTATTAGTAAGTTTACTAATGCGCTCTATGATTGGCTGGCAATCATTTCAGGGTGTGCCCCGTCCACGGCCCGAAGTCAGCTGGGATAGATTCCAGCACACCCGCGACCCTTGTGAGGATAAGCGGTTCAAAAAATGGTTGGATACCATTGTGGTTGTAGTTTATTGTGATTTAGAGCCAAATTACAGTGATACCTCGCTACTTCGCGGTTCACTTATCGCGGTTTCAGTGCATCGCAGATTTTTCAAAAGTATTCACCCCCCAAAAAAAGCAAAAATGCCGCAAAAGGTCCGCGAAAGTCAGCAAAATAACAGCGAGTCACATAGAGCAACATATACAGTACTACATGTATATTTCATGGTTATGTTTTCCGTATTTTGTTATTTATACACTAACCTAACCTAACTTAAACATCTTATACTTGTGTGTGTGTGTGTGTGTGTGTGTGTGTGTGTGTGTGTGTGATAACTACGGATGGGGCAAATGGAGGTCAAAGGCTTTACTAGTTGATGTCGCTGAGAAGGGATCTCATGAGCAAGGATTGTGGAAGGGGTGGGCCAAGGTATGCGCATGTCATGAAAATTTGATGACTTTCTCCACCAAAAATGTGAAAGGAGGATTGAGGTGTGTGTGCGCGTGCTCTCACACCGTGTTCTTCAGCCGGTATTTCAGCCTTGCCGAGCAA